CTTCCTAATTTTTATTTTTGTACGTTTAAAAATCAAACCCTTTCTTTTTTTATTTTTCCAAAACCTACATTTTACTGCAACACTAATTACTAATGAAAGTCTAGACTTAAAATTTTGAAAAATATCATACATTATCATGTATTAAGAAAAAACAACAATTGATTATGATAAGTTATGTTTGTTTTTAATGAATAGTATAATTATTTCAATTTGTAACTATGAAAATAGCTGTTTGACTAGTGCTATTCATTTGCGACTATAATGCTGTTATAACTGTACTAGCAAAGCGATTCCTTCTTGTTTTATACGTAATATCATAGTCACAAGAATAGATAGTCTGGAAGCGCACAATAGCTCATTATATTATCTCTTTGTACCCAAAAAAACTAGAACCCAGATCTTTTGAAGTGCAAAACAATAAAGAAATAAAAATAAACTCGTTCAGATCATAGTCACAAGAAAGATCTATTCTTGTTACAATGTTCAGATAAGTTTAATTTGGCGTCGAATAATCGTGCTTGTTACAATTTATAAATTCTTTTCATTATTCTAGTTGTATCGTTGGTTTAACTTTTTAGAGACTCTGAAATTTTTGTCATTTTGTCATCAAGTTTAAACTTCTAGAGGTAAAAAAAAGACATTATTTCAGTTACAATTTAGTTTATTAAACGTGTTTAATATACTACAGTGGAGCTGAAATCAGTTGTTTGAATCTAGATTTATCATGTCTGGAGCAAACTGCGCAGTTTATGGCTGTGGAAGTAGTAGGTATAAAAAACAAGGAGAAGATACAGTTATTATTTTTAAACTTACAAACCCAAATAGAAGCGAACTTTTCTCAAATTGGAATAAAGAAATACTGAGAATTATCACAAGAGATAGAGTTGTATCCCTTGATTTTAAAAAACAAATCAAAAAGAATAGTGTTTATATGTGAGAAAAGCATTTTGAATATTCAGATATATACACCTGTAAGTGTGCTTAATAAGTGTTGATATTTATTGAGTACGCGTATACATTACTTTTATTATAATTTTATGATAGGTTGAATTACAGACAGTAAAGCAAATACTATTTAAAAAATTCTTTTTAATTATTTTTCAGATCAACACAAAAAATGATTAAAAGAATTTGCACCTCCATCAAAAAACTTACCAAAAAAAAGTTTATCTGAAGATCTTACTGAGCATCGGAAAAAAACAGCACTTCACAAACGAGCTATGGCTTTGCATTACACGGTAGTAAAAAAGTAGATAAAAAATTAATTTAAAATGATTTTGAACAGTTTCTTAAAAAAATTAAACTAGCAGCATTTACTACATGGACTGTTGAAACTTCACAAAACTATGTGTTATTTAAAGTTATTGATGGAAAACATTTCATACCAGAAATTCAGCTACTTGTGGATAAGAGTCTAGCTTATACTATTCGAGCTTATGGTTGGCTTTTACAAGACACCCATCAAATTTATAAGAGTAATTTACTATCTGTGCGATACACCGTGATATCACAATTTCTCAATCACATTCGTGATTTCTATCTGTGCAATGGAATATCATCCAATGAAATAGAAAATTTTTTGCTTGTTAAGAGACATGTTGTTAGCAAACTATTTTTAATCGAAGATGAAAGATGTGATGATGGTCCTACAATTGAAACAGTGTTCATTTCAGATCTTCTACATGCAGTATTCTACAAATTGAGTCAAGCATTTGTAAAGAATGTAAAATATTAACTATAAACAGTACAAAGCCATTAATGCAAAAAAGAAAATCTTAAAAACTCCAGCTAGTATCGAAGCTCCTGTTAAATATACTGCGCCTGAAAGATTACTTCTTACTCTCCAAAATCAAAGATCTGAAAATAGGTATTTAAAAATACAAATTTTGGAACTCAGGCAAGCCATTGAAAAAAATGCAGTATCAGTTGGAGAAAACATCCATCAAGATCTTCAAAAAATTATCAATAGTTTCTCAGAAAAGGTAAATTTAAATAGAGAAATTTCGTCTTTCATGAAATTATTCCTTTCAGAACACTTAAAATATTTAACAGAACATCCATCTCAAACAGGATACCATCCAATGGTAATAAAATACTCTTTAGCTTTGTATGCAAAATCTCCAGCTGCATATGATCTTCTGCGTTTACAAAAGATGGAAAAGGTATACTTGTTTTGCCTTCTCAACGCACTTTAAGAGACTATAGAAACTACATCAAACCACAAAGGGGTTTTAATAGTCAATATGTTCAGGAGCTTGCTAAGTTAGTTTCAAACTTTTCAGCACTTGAACAATACATTATACTTTCTTTTGATGAAATGAAAATTCAAAGAGACCTTGTGTGGGATAAGCACACATGTGATTTAATTGGTTTCGTTGATCTTGGTGATAATGATCTTACTCAGGCAACTTTTGAAAAAACTGATACTTTAGCTTCACATATTTTTTTTTTAATTATTAGAATTGCAATGAATCCTTTATCTTATGCTTTTGCAGGTTTTGCTACTGATAGTATTATGTCATTCCAGATTTTTCCAATATTTTGGCGTGCTGTTGCAATATTAGAAAGAACATGTAAATTAAAAGTTATAGCTGTGACTTGCGATGGAGCTTCACCAAATCACGCATTTTATAAAATGCATATGAATAATGACAGCAAAGCAAATGGTATAACATATCGCACAAAAAAAATTTATGCAGATGATGAACGATATATATTTTATCTTTTTCTGATCCTCCTCAATTTAAATTATTTTCCTAAACTTACTTGAGACCATATAGTATTAAATGCATACTCTGTTATGATCGTAAAAATAGCAGTTCAAATTTTAAGTGCTACAGTTGGCAATACATTGCTTGAATTTGGGCCAGATTAAGCTTCTGAGACAGCAAATTTCTGTCTGTTAATGGATAAATTTTTTGATTGCTGCAAAACAAACACTAAAGAGCACCTCAAAAATCGTAAAGTATTTTCAGATGAAAGGTTTTACTGGTTGAAAAACACTTTTCTAAAATATTTTTAGACTGGAGGGAAAGCATAGAAAAAAGGCCAGAAAAATTTTCTAAAAAAGAACTTAATAAAATGTTCATATCAAATCAGACATTTGAAGGTCTATCTAGAACGGTAAACTCCTTAGTTAATTGCGTTCAATACTTACTAAGCAAAGGATTTTTATACCTATTAACTGAAATATTTTGTCAAGACGCATTGGAGAACTACTTTGGTAAGCAAAGAACTATAGGTTGCAATAGGGATAATCCTAACCTTAAAGACACTGGGTATAATGATAGTATCATAAAATCTCAATTTACAGTTCAACCCCTTGGTGGAAATGTTAGACAGCATACTAATGAATGGGTAATTGATGATACACCGGTTCCATAGAAACTTAGAAAAAATAAATTAACTTAATTGAATTATGATTTTTTTTTTTTTGGAAAACCTTATTTCATAAAACATTTTTTTAATTAGTTTATCAGTAGATATTATTTGTCTTCCCCAAAATTACTGTTAGTTTATTTAAAAATCAAGTTTTACCAAAACCTATTATAATTTAATTCTGATAAAAGCCTATACTATAAGAGAAAAAACACAACATTTGATTAAAATAAATAAAATAAGTTGATTAAAATAATAAATTGATAAAAATATTTGTTCTAACCAATAATGTAATTATTTTAATTTGTAGCTATGAAAGTAGCTGTTTGATAAGTATTATAAACTGGAACTATAATACTCTTATAAATATGGTTTTTCTATACATCTGCATAGATTGATAAAATACTGATGAGAGGAAATATGATTGTAAATCTCAGCTATCGCAAATATTTTTCTTGATCTTATTTGATTTTTTTAATGATGATCGTAAAGATTCTGTTTTTGTTATTTTTTTTTTGTTTTTGTTTTTGAATTTTTCTTTTATTTACTTTGTGTGTGAAAGAACACAAATAAAAAGCATCACTATATGATATAATAAAGTTTTAGCAACTTTTTTTGTCTATTTCTGTTTCAGGAAGGTCACATATTTGATAAAAGCAGGACTTGAAAAAACAGTTATTGAATAATTGTGAAACCAATACTTTACTGTCAATTTTTCTAAAATTTACTTTAGTATGTATTCTAAATATTTTTTTACATTCAATAAAAATACTTATTACTAGAGTATTCTTTTTTCACAATCCACTTCTATCTCTACTATCTACAAATTTTTGTTCCTCTTGAGTTTTTGATGAAAGTATAATATCAAGCCATTGTCCAGACATTGGACCATCGTTAATTTTTTTATTTCTCAACTTAGAGTACAGTTTTTGAAATACGTAACCTGCAATATATTCTAAGCATCTAATGTCTTTTTCAGAGAGATTTATTTCTAGATTCGAATCTTCAGCAATAAGTTTAGATTCTTTTGTAATCAAAAAATTTAGACATAATGTTAATTCTGCTAACAATAAATAATATAGTTCCTTTGGTATTGTTTTTATTGCAACTGACTCAATTGTATACTTATGATGGAGTGAAGAATAAAATTTTTCGGCATTGCCTTTAAATTCATGCATTTCTTCAAAAAAAAAAAAGATTCAACTTGTAAATACTACTCAGATTCAGTGACAACCATGTTTTTAAAACATTCTCGATCTTCATTACAAAAACAATCATCTGTTGACAGTTTATGTCTTGCGTTAGTCAATAGAACTCTGAATTGTGTACTTTGAATACATAATTGTGTATTTTTATTTAAATCAACTGATTCACTTGTTTTATCGTCGCGTCCATTTAATTTAATAACGTTTATAATCTATAGCTTTATATATTCTTTCTAACATCATATACAAACATCTTTTCTTTATATATATTAAATTCAAAAGTCCCATGAGAATATACTGTTAATTACAGTTGAAATAACTTACGTAGATGCGTGACTTTCAACACGCATCTACGTGATTTCTAACACGTACAATTCACCAACATAATAATAGAACATGCCCTCTTGGTGAATTAACTCATAAGTCTAATCGTTCTTGAGAATCATTTTGAACTTGAGCAACATCATCATTATAACTTCCTTTACCGTTATCAGTTTTATCGTTTAGTCTATAAAAAACATCGTTGACTGATTCATTTGAACTCTGAACGTCTGTACGGCGACGCAGGTGTGAAATGTGACACAACAAAGTATTTTGCTTTCGTACTAAGCCTGGTATCCACGGCTGGTCACATTTTGTTTCTTGAGTTGGTTTTACCCAAACATTGTCACCCACTTTGAATTTCTTGCTTCCGCCTTTCTCGTCTACCTTCCTCCAAGTATCGACGCCTGGGATGAAACATGTCGATCTTTTCTTGAATTGCTTGGATGGACTTTCAGTACAATTGGATGATATTGTCTCGTTGTACAGCAAGACTGCCAGAGCGATTGAACAATGTGAGCGAGCGACCGTTCTTTTTATCGTTCTGTGTATACGTTCAACTATACCATTACCTTGAGCTCGATGTGCTGCTCGATATTCCAAATTAACATGCCATTCTTCAGCAAAACTTGTTAAAGTGTTGGACCGAAATTCGTTGTCCATTAGAAGACATACTGGCGGACCAAATAAAGAGAATATTTCTTCGAGTCTACCAAAAACTTCAGCAGCTGCTTTAGTTACTAGTTTACGCCATATTGTATACCGTGATGGACCACAGTCAATCATTGATAAGTACAGTTCAGCACCTACATGCGTCACGTCAATGGCAACCCGATTCCAATTTTTTTCTACGCTTAGTTGGCCATTCTTCCACTTTACGGAGTAAGGATCAATGGAGTTACACTGGTTACAATTCGCAATTACTGCTGAAACCTCCTTACGTGATACATTCTGATTATTTCGCAAGCAAAGTTGTAATGTTCGAGCAACACCAAAATGACTAATTGAATGAATTTTCCATATGTCTTTTTGTTCAAGTAATTCAGCTGCACACACTGTTCTGCACCATTTTTGAGAGATTCGTGAGAGTCGATCAGCCAAATTTATCTCAGATGGAATCCATTGTACTGCACTCTGAATATCTTTTACCACTTCCTTAATAGTATTCTATCGTACTAACAATTTGTACTAACAATTGAGAAATTCCCCGAGTTTTTACGCGATATTCTTTCTTCAAAACTGCGTTTAACCATCCTACGGTGCTCTTGCTATCACTGTATACTGCTAACTCTTTTATGCCCCACTTACTAGCTAAGTTTAGTCCTCGAAGTATAGAATCCAGTTCACTTATATTGATATGGTGTGTGTCACTCGCTGGCCGTAGCCATGCTGCGTCTTCAACAACTACTCCACCAATGAGCAGAACTACCCCAAGTCCTATAGATGATGCATCACAATAAAGCTCAGCTTTTCCATCAACTGGTACCAGCCATTTTCCACCAACCGGATCCTCTTTTTCCACACGGTAAAGCAACTCTTTCAGTTTTTCTTTACAATCTTCAGAAATAAAATCACACCAAGGTATATTTCCAGCTAAACGTTTGATGTATGAAGCTTGTAAACGCAAACTTCCTGACACTGGGAAATGTCCAATGAGTTTGCCTAACTGGCTGAAAAGCTGTGATCGTGTGACTGCATTTAAAGATTCGAATTGTACCACATTGTCTCGTTTCCATATCAGTTCCCCATTTTTATTTCTTTCGACTCTCAATCCTAAGACACGTCCTTGTTCAAGATCTTGTGGAGGTTTACATTGTAATCCGAATTTAAGCAGGTGCTTCGCTACATTTTTCGCAGTTTCCACACTTTCATCCACAAATATATCATCAATGTAGTTATCACATGCTTTCTTTACGGTTGGATTTAAATTGAGCACATGCCGAAGAATTGTGGTCATTATTGTTGGAGCCACATTGATGCCAAAACACATCCTGGTAAAACAATACCGTTGCCCATTTATAATCACCGTTTGATATGGCCAAAGTTTTTTATCAATATGAATTTGGAGGTAGGCTTTTTTAAGATCGAGAATTTTTGCATTTTTTATTTTTCTCCAGCAACGCAGTTTTTCTTGACAAACGTCCGCATTTGCCGTATGACAATTTACAAATTCGTTGAGAGCTCGGAAATCTCCCACTGGTCGTACCTTTTTGTCCTTGTTTTCTTGCACTACGCACATAAGCGGTATCAATACTTTTGGTGGTCCCAATATTAGTTCTTTATATGGTACAAGAATACCAGAGTCAATCCATTCACGTATTTCTTTACGGTAACTACGCTCTTGGTTCATCTTGTATTCACAAATGGTATTATCAATTACAGGCTCTTTATTCCAGTTCCATGATGCCGTCCATTTTTTTCCGTCGAACTTTGCTGTGAAGTCCTGATGTTTTATTTCGTTTCTTTCGTTCTCTTCATTTCTTGTTGTATTTTTGACATCACGTTTTATTTTTTGTACTTCGTTTTCGCTTTTTCTTGTCGTATTAATAACATCAATATTTAATTCGTTTATTTCGTTTTCGTTTTTTCTCGTCGTAGTAACGGCACCACATTTCGCTTTGTCACATGCTAACATTCGGACGTTACAGTTTTTATTACCATAAATGATAACTCCTCCAAATTTTTTAATTGCATTTATTCCAAAAATTAAATCAAACCCAAATGGTTTTTCTTTTACAACCAGAGAATTAACCATCCGGTGTATTCCATCAATTTCCAGATTGATTACCATTTCACCCAGCACTTGCACAGTTCCTCCCAAAGTTGTGATAAGTTTTTGACTTTTTAACACAAGCCCATGCGCGGACTCAGCATGAACCACAGTAATGAAGCATCCAGAATCAATTAATGCTGTTCGGAGCCTTCCATTTATTTTCACTTTTAATGATGGCAACGTCATTTCTGTGAGAATACTGGATGCCATTATTTCCAGATTCTCCCTTTTCCTTTTAAACCTTGCAATCGTTTAAAGCAGTTTTTAGCTTGATGATCGTGTGAACAAGTCTTGCATTTTTCTTCGCAATCCCTTGCAAAATGTCCAAGTTTTCCACAATTGAAACATTTAACTTTGTTTATGTCGGACGCACCAGACGTCCGTGAAAGTAACGATGTTGCGCCAATCATTACGTTCTCGGAACCATCTAATTGTCGAGCTTCCTGGGTTACTCGTTCATGGGTAACAGCTATTTCCACAGCCTTTTCAAAAGTTAGTTCTTCAGATTCCAGTAGTAACCGTTTGGTTGTAACGCCATCGTTAAAACTCGTGATGAATTGGTCGCGCATTCGATCATCTCTATCCGTGAATTTGCATCCTTCAGCAGCTCTTGTAATCCGTCGTGAAAATTCCGTCACATTTTCGTTACTTGCTTTTTTTATAGTTGCAAATTCAAAGCGTAGTATTAACGATGACTTCGGTTTAAAGAGCTTCATGATGTTTTCCTCGATGTTTTCGTAGGTAACTGAGTCATCTTCAGGGTATGCAGGCAAGCATAGATCTTCTAGTGCGGAATAAATCTGTGGTGGCAAACATGTTAATATTATTGTTTTTCTTTTGGATTCGGGTACGTCCATCGCAGTTTTGTATGTTCGTAGTTGGCGGACGAACCGCTGATGGTTGCCATCGAATACCGGTGGCATAATGGCCGAAATAGCTTGTTTTATCGTCGCGTCCATTTAATTTAATAACGTTTATAATCTATAGCTTTATATATTCTTTCTAACATCATATACAAAAATCTTTTCTCTATATATACTAAATTCAAAAGTCCCATGAGAATATACTGTTAATTACAGTTGAAATAACTTACGTAGATGCGTGACTTTCAACACGCATCTACGTGATTTCTAACACGTACAATTCACCAACATAATAATAGAACATCACTACCGACAACCTCGACAAGGTTGTCAGTAGGCACAAGTTCTTTGTGCTTAGAGTTTATATGCCTTTTCAGACCACTAGTTGTTTTGAATACCTTCGAGTAATCACTACAATTTAAAGTAAGTTTACATTCTTCTAAAGCTGCTATTTCGATTTCTTGATAAAATGAATCGCTTTCAAACTGATCTGTTTCTATCAAACTTAAAAGAACTTGCAACTCTCCACTTTCCATGATTCACTTTAATGTTTGTTTTGCACTTTCAGCGGGCCGAAGGTACAATTTTGACATAAAAGTTCAAAATCAATTGTTACGGCCCGTGTTTCCAGACTATCTATTCTTGTGACTATGGTAATATACAGGTAAATGAAATTAAAATCAAGAGATATGTTAAGTAATAAATCTCTATGTAGTCATTAGCACTTTTTATTTTATACATATAAGTTCTGAAACAAAACCGCCATCTTATTTTTGAGCACGTTTTTCCGCTAATGTTTTATGACGTATTCAAAATGTTTTATGCCGTGCCACAATAGGGCCGCAAACACAACACCTTCACCAATAAGTTTAATATTATTCATCATCCCGGAATCGTATTGGACTCTGTCGAAGTCGCCCTGATTTGCGTGTTTCCACTAGTGCAAAACTCGATTCCATCTCGGAAGGAAGTTTGCTAGCCCCGTCCTTTTCTGTGGAACTTTGCACTGCATTCCTGGCTGTCGATTCCTCCGTGGATGGTAGTTCCTTCGCGATAGACGTGAAAACGGGTATAGTGACAAATTTTTAACTGGTGGTTAAGGGTTAGTGGGTTCCGGAAATGTGATTACAGGATTCGAACCGTATTCCGGTAAATCGGAAAATCACAATCGTATTTGATATAATTTCAAAGAAAAAACTCTAGTTATAATCGAAAACGAATCAAAGCTTGCAAAAAAAGAAACTTACAAGGAATCTTTTTTGCAAACATTCACTGGAGTAAAAGTGTTACCAGTAGAGGAAGTTGAGCTTTTTGTTAGAATCAATGGGCAGGCTAATTTATTAGCTTTAATAATCACATCAGGTAAAGGACCTTCATTGATTGGCAGAAATTGGCTGAGAAAACTTAAAATTAATTGGGGAAAAATATTTCATGCAAGCTCAGAAATCCCAAAAAATACCAATCCATCAATGATGAATACATTAGTTAAAAAGCATTCTGCAGTGTTCCAAAATGTGCTGGGGCTATTGAAGGATACAGTGATACATATACCTTTGCTGCTTAATGTAAAACCGAAGTTTTGCAGAGCACGATGGGCAGGCTAATTTATTAGCTTTAATAATTTATTAAATTTAAGCTTTTGATGTAGTAAAAAATTAGTACTCCCACCCATAGTCTCTAAACATAAGTTCATAAAAAGTAACTTATATAGAGCAACCTCGCTATGGAACTCCCTAGACAATGAAACTATGTCAATAAATTGTCTAAAGATGTTCAAAAAAAGTATTTTAAAATGGAACGGAAAATCTTGTTTTTGTAAAATCTGTCAAAAATAACTTTTTTTATTTTTTATTTTTTACGTCGAAAATAACCGACTTGTTGTAATTATTTACTATGTAAGCTATTTTTATTTTATTTTATTTATTTTTTATTCACGATATGTATGTTTGTTTGTACTGTCTTATAAAGTTTAGTGTGTTGATTGTTGATTATAAAACTATTGTAAACAATCAACGGAAAATAAAGTTTAAAATAAATAAACTACATCGACTATCTTATAACCTGCTCCTACAAGGAGGTGTTGCTACATTGACTGAGGTTTTCGCATAGGGCAACAATCTTTTTCTTATATTAATTCAATTACAAATTTCTAATGTTTAAAAACTCTCCACTAACTAGAGCTCAACATGCGAAAAAATAAAATTGTTTTAGAGCGCTTATGAGGAATTTTGTATTTTTTTACCTAGGTTTACCCATAGTTTTTCATTGCCCTGTAGGACAATGATTTTTTAATTTGATTTACACAGTCTGTGTCACATGTATTAAATAAATAAAGTGAAAATTAAATTCTGACATTCCGGCTTGAATTATTATTATTCCGGCCGGAATCGGAATGACCTAAAAGTCACAGATTCCGGCCGGAACGGAATTTTGGTACATCCCTACTATTGATGCATTTAGCGATTGTTAACAGCAATTTTTTGAGTATTATTGGAATCGCTTTATTTATTTCCATAAAAAAGAATTTTCCATTTTAAGGGGGAAAACCTCTCAGAAAAAATTTTTTTTTTTCAATTTTTTTTTTCCAGATATTTTAAAAGTAAATTTATTAAGAAATCAAATGGTAAAAACCTTATTCGAAAATCGCTATTTTTTATATCAATAAATGACACTTTTGTACAACCACCTAAGTTCAAAATTACCTAGCAACGCCCCTAGTTACAGAAAAACTGTGAATAAAACACATCTAGTATAGCTTTTTATCTGGTTTTTTTTTTGCAGTTTAGTTTGAAATGATTCCTATTATCTCTAAAGCCATACTTTAAAACCACATGTTTGACTGATAGTGCTAAAATTAGTCATATTTTCAAGCTTCTACACAATCAACTCAAGCTTTCTATATAATTAAAAAAAATGGACAAGTCTAAAACTGAATATAAAAGTGATAGAGTAAAATTTTCTACAAAACGTCTTCGAAAACGTAAATGTACATTTTCTGGTTTAAGAAAGCAAGAAAAATGTGTAAACATTGGTGTAAATAATGTTAATAGTAATAATGAAAATATGGTAGACTCTGTAAATATTGAAAGTGAAAGTGTATTTAAAAGTGCATCAAAAAAAAAAAGTAAAGCAAGTAATGGTTCCAAGTGGAAACTCAAAATGTGTCAGTGGCTACAGGTTTATTGATTTAGAAATTCTTGCTTCCATTTTTGATAAACTTGGGTGTCCAGAATGTTTGCGACTATTACAGTTGTCGTTAAGCGAAAATAAAAAGTCTTGCAAAGGATATGCATGAAATTTATCATTAAATTGTGTTTGTGGTTTCAAGTTAGACTTTGACACATCAAAAAATGTAGCAGGGTTTAATATTAACAAAAGATTAGTGTATGCCATGAGAACACTTGGTCAAGGCCAAGGTGGTCTACATCGGTTTGCCTCTCTTATGAATATCCCAAAAGGATTATGCAATAAAAGCTATAATGTTATTGTTCAAAAATTGGCAACTGCAGCACAAACTGTTGCTGTTGAAACTATGAATGAAACTGTACAAGAACTCAGAGAAGGCAAACCTCTTAATGAGATCTTAGATAATGGAGTTTCTGTTGATGGAACATGGCAAAAAAGAGGATTTAATTCACACAATGGGGTGACGGCAGCATTATCAATTAAAAATGGGAAGGTTTTAGATGTTGAAGCATTATCTAGAAAGTGTAAAATATGTGACAAAAATCAAGATGTTGGTAATTCAAAGCAGCAGCTAACAGCAAAAAAATCACATATTTGCAATAAAAACTATGCAGGATCAGCCGGTGGAATGGAAACAGTTGGGGCAATAAAGATATTTAATCGCTCTTTGCAAAAATTTAATTTACGATACACTGAATACTTGGGTGATGGTGATAGCAAAAGTTACACTTCTGTCAAAAACACATACAAGGGTATTGAAGTAATTAAACTAGATTGTATTGGACATTTTCAAAAGCGCATTGGATCTCGTTGTAGACAATTAAAAAAGCAAGTCAAGGGTTTAAATGGTAAAGGCGGTTTAACAAACGCTACAATTGATCGGTTGCAAAATTATTTTGGTATTTGCATTAGGCAAAATTGTGGCAACCTTGAAGGAATGAGATCTTCAGCTTTGGCTAGCTTATTTCATGTAGCATCTTCAAGCAAAAATAATTGACATTACCCGCATTGTCCCTCAGGAAAAGATAGTTGGTGTAAATACAATCGAGATAAATCTAATGGAACCAAAGAGTATAAACCCGGACCAGGTCTTCCTATTGAAATAGTACACAAGTTAAAGCCCATTTATGTAGAACTAACATCAGATGCTTATTTAAATCGTTTGCTTCATGGAAGAACACAGAATCAAAATGAAAGTTTTAATGCAATGATATGGTCTAGAATACCTAAGTCAAAGTATTTTTTGCTTACGCAATTGAAATTAGGACTTTATGATGCTATTGGTGCCTTTAATATAGGATTAAAGTCTAGTATACTTATATTTGAAAGACTTAATATGATACCAGGGCAACATACCATTTCTGGATGCAATTACCTGAACCAGAAAAGAGTTATGATGTCAGAGTATAAAAAACAAGACACCATCAAAAAAAAAAAGGAAGATTTTAAGAAGCCGCAAGCTTAAAAAATTTGACAAAGTTGAACAGAAAGAAGGGAAATTGTATGGGGCTGGTGTTCATGATTAAAAAATACAATCAGTATGCTCTTTTTATATTATATTTTTTGTATCTTTGTTATTATATAATATTTTTCATCACAATTTCAACTTATTTGGCATTTTTCTCAGAACGCGTGTTTTTAATCTCCCGGCAGAAGTATCTTGAGAACCGCTTGACCGATTTTAATAAAATTTTCAGGGAGTATTCCTCTCATAAAGATGTATGCAATAAGCAGACAACTTTAAAAATTTTTTTTTTTAAACTAAAGAAATTTAAAAAAACATCTATCATTTTTGTGCTTAAAATTTTTGCCAAAATTAAACATGCCTACTACTTGACAGAAAAGTTATTTTCAAAAACTGTCTGCTTATTGCATAGATCTATCTTTTAACTATAAGTTAGAAAAAAATC